TCCCCAGCCCTTTTACTTAGATACAAGGTTTTGCCAAGTTGCCCAGACCTTAAACTTGGAACCTCAGCCTCCTAAGGAGCTGGGATGACAGGTGTCACCACCATGCTCAGCCTGAGACTGACTTTTTACGCCCAGGTTCATGGATGATGAGTATCCAGAAATCCAGTCCAAGCAGGTCTTGCCTTTATCAATGACAGTTACAGTTCCATTGAGGAGCCGAGCTGGTCTCAGATCCAGGCAGACTGGTGCAAGTCCCCAGGTCCTCTGTCCACATCCTTTGAAGTTATGGGTCTCAGTGCCCTTTATTGGCCTTTATCTTAGGGAGTGTAGTTTATGAAAAGGTGGAGGGGACAGAGCCTTGTAGACTGCACAAGGGTCTAATGGCACAGTGCCCTTGTGTGTGTGTGGATGTAAGTTAATCAGAGCATTTAGCAGAGCTGGGAAAAAGGGGAGATGATAGATTATCTGTAATCTGTCTGGGTGGATCTAACGAGGTGATTCACTCCTATCTTCATTCTCAAGGGTCAGAAGGAACATCTTTAAAAGAATCCCAGGGACTCACCATTGAGGGGGACAAAGTACCAGGATTGATCTGATATCCTTTCAGACAGTCACTGTCCCCACAGTCTACATTTGCTGGGAGGTTGTGCTGGGTGATGGTTCTGAGTCAGGCTGTGAGTTCCATTTCTGAGTCACCATGTTTTTGTCGGATTGTGTCCTGGAGTAGATCACTGCTCTGTGCCTCAACACTCCCATCTTTAAAGTTGGACAATAATGACACCAACATCATAGAGGCATTATAATCTTAAAGAAATGATACTTTCAGAGATGTGCTGAGGAAGCAGTGGATGATAAAAATTGGGCTAATGATTGCTATTTGTCCAGCTAACACAACTCACCATAATTTAACTTTACGTCTGCCATTCTGTAGAAATTGCTGTTGCTAAGGTCACTTCTTCATTCTGCAACACAGTGACCCATTTTCATTCTTCATCCTACTTGCCCTCAATTTTGCATTCTCTTAACTCAGAAATTCTCTCCCTTTGACTTCTAAAACAATGCCCTCTTTTCGTTTTCTTCTACTTTTTTGACCTTTTCCTCTCCTCCTTTTCCTTACCCCCTTTCCAATGCCCACACTTGAAGCTTTGGGTTCCCCAGGGCTCTGATGTCTGGCTTTACAGTTTTATTTCTGTGAAGTCTCTCTGCATGACCCCTTTCCTACCCATGGCTAGGCAGGATCCTTTTCCCCATTGCTATGACTCCAGTCATTTCAAATCCTAAATTATGCAAAGATCATTTTTGTTCACAAACTCTTAGAAAATGCGGTTGCCCTCTTATTATCCGTGTACTTTGTGAGAGCAGATTAAAAGAAACACCTTTCACATATAGTGAAGTCCCAAAGTTATATCTTCCCAAGTATCTCTAGTCTGTGTCCTTCCTCCATGTCACGTGATGACCCACAGGTCACAGAGGGGTGGGGAGAAGCTTTCTCATGCCTGGTCTTTCTTCTTGTAGCCTGTGACTTATGGTTGCAGGGAAGGCTATGAATCTGTCATCCTTGGATACTTCCTTACCACCTAAAACCCTGCAACCACACCCAATATATTGACATGGGATCTCCAGTAAAATTTCATGTTGGCTCCATAGTCATGTCAACAGATGCGCCCCACCCAGTGAGACAAAGCATGTATCACTAGCTTTCTAGAGCTCAAGTCCTAAAGACAAAGAAGCAGTGCAGGATCACCAGGAATTTCAGAAAGTTTCAGCATGAGAAAGAAAGAGTAAGGCAAGAAATAGTCAGTGAACCTCAGGAAACAGAAACAAACCAGGAAGCAGAAAATTACTTTAAAAAAAAAAAAAACATTATCCATGGAGAGGTAAATGAAGAAGCCCCATGTATAAAACAAAGTGATGCTTAAACATGAACTATTAGAGGGATCGTAGTTAGAAATTACTATCTTTTAAATTTCAAAGTCAAAGAAAATTGGAAGACAAAGTCCAGGAAATCTTCCAGAAAACCAAACACATGAACAACAAAAAAAAAAGTATACATAAACACGTAAAGAAAAGAACATTAAACAGAGATAAAACATCTGATTAAAAGGAGTTGAGAATGAGGAGGAAACAATGAATTGAAGAGACAGGAAAGAGAATAAAAACATATGGAAATTTCCCCAAATTACCTACTTAGTTCTTAGCACAGTTAACACGTTGGCATGCATTCACATTCATACTCATACATTCGCATGCATGAACAAACATACACACACAGAGAGAGAGACAAACACAGACACACACATTGCACATGACACCAAATTGTGCTGGGATATGGAATAAAGAGAAGATACTCAGAGCTTCCAGGAGGGAGGATCAGGTCCCACTGATGGTCAGATTGCTATCAGGTTGTTTATATGGCAGCTCAGAAAGGCAATGCCGTTCTCCATAATGATGAACACTGCTGCTGTTTCTGCACTGAGCAACTCCTTCAAAATGTGACAAGTAACTTTTTACCTTAGAGTTCTGAACTTAAATTTATATGTATATCCACTGTAAGAACAAAAGAAAAGTAATTAAAACTATGTCTCACTGGTCCCCTTTCTTAGGAAGCATCAGGAGAGTCTAGCAAAACAAGGGAGCAAACAAGAAAAAGAAATGGTGCGGCCATCTCTGGTTTGCTCCTGTTTCCTGAAGTTCACTGACTATTTCTTGCCTTTCTCTTTCTTCCTCATGCTGAAACTTTGCTGAAATTCCTGGTGATCCTGCACTGCTTCTTTGTCTTTAGGACTTGAGCCCTAGAAAGCTAGTGATATACGCTTTGTCTCACTGGGTGGGGCGCATCTGTTGAGACGACTGTGGAGCCAACATGAAATTTTATTGGGAGATTCAAATTCAATACATGGGGTCTTCTTGGAGAGTTTCTCCAGAGAGACTCTCCCTGCTCTCCAGGTCCTGAGCTGAGATTGAGGGTGATGAGTAGGTTACACATCCTTTCTGTTATTCTGGGATTGGGAGAAGGAGCTCTGCTTCCTGCTTCATCCCAGCCTTCCTCTGAGCCTTTGCACTCAACTTCTCTAGGAATAAATTGCTGTTCTTGTGCAGTGAGGAGAGAATCACGGCCTGGGTGCCTTATCCCAGCCCACTGCCTCGTTCCTTCTATTTTCCTGGATATTTTGTCCTTGATGTTTTGGGTGCCCCACAGAAGTGACATCCTATCAGTAGGTCCCTGAGTCCTTCTGTCAGTCCCTTCCTGCACTCTCCAAGTCACCAACCTCCTTTGACTTTTCATTTTCCAAAACATAGTTGACATATCTTATTTCCCCTTGTCTCTTCTCTTCTTCCTTTTGATGATAATGACATTTCTTTAATTTCTTTGCCTTTTAATGGCAAGGGTGAGAAAATAAAGGGCTAAGTTTATTAAATGAACAGTTGAAGGAACAGTTTAGAGCTTAGTTTAGAAACAGTTTTTGCTGTTTAACTGGAAATCACCATGAAGTTTGCCGAAAAGGTTTCCAGAATGTTTTCAGGCATTGGCCTCCTTCTGCAAGGCAGGTGATTATTGTATTTGGGCAACCACTGACTGCTACTTTTTCACGTGGTGTCCAGATACAGTCAGTCATTTGTCATGGGTTGAATAAGCCTGTCTGTGCTGACAGAGTGGAATTGAGGGTCCTCCGTCTGCATTCACCAGTCCCGCACTTAGTTCTGCCTCATTGCCACTTCACCTCGCTGTTTGATGGGAAATATTCTCTCCATAAACTCCAGTAAGAAGTAATGGATTTCTGCAGTGGAAATATTGTTCAAGCCACAAAACCAAATCACAGCAGGTACTTTGTCTGGGGACCCTGTGTCTAGCAAAGCAAGCCATTTAAAATGCCTGTCGTACAAAGCCACAAACAATCACAGCTAATTCCCTTTACAGGAGTTTTATTTGTATGTATGAGAGAATCACGCCACCAAACAGAGTCACTGTTCTGCCAAGACTGCAGTGTTTATTATCTGCATCACCTTGGAGCTGCTTTGGAGCAGCCTTCTTCACTAGGCTGCTTCTTTAGGTTAGAAAATGGTGAATCTGAGGTTGGGGAAGATGACAATGGCATTCTCTGAAGCCATTGGGGGCCATATGAGTCTTCCAAGACAGGAAGTCTTGGGCCACCTGCCTGAAGTCTAGTAGTGACATGGCCTACCTACTTGCACTTGTGAAATGTGGCTTGACTTGTGCCTTTGTCTATATGGGGCTGTTCGCCTTATGAAAGAGGAAGGCCTGATGTGGGATTCTTGTGAGAACTAATTCAGACTCCCCTGAGATCTGATGGCCATGCTGAGAGGCTCTGGGACCCCAGGCTCCCAATCAGTGGTCTCGGTTCCAGCTGTAGTAAGACTTACCTGGAGCAGTTTGACAACCTTGACACCCAGGAAGCACCACAGACTTCCTGGATCAGAATCACTAGGAGTCGAACCCAGCACCAGTGGTTATCAACACTCCCACACAGAGGAGGGCCAGAAGGCCAGCCACTACTACACCATGTTTCACAAATCCTGTTACTGCTACATAAGCAATCAAACTCATTGAAAACATCTTTTTTTTTGAGATAAGGTCATACTCTATGTTGACTTCAAATGTAGGATCCTCCTGCCCCAGTCTCCCAAATGCTGGGCTTGCCAGTGTGTTCCACCACTCCCTCCCCTAAAATTTGATTATTTTCAACCATTTTGGATAACCGAGAAAGTGAAAATAATTTATAACATGGTCATCTTGAGTCACTTTTGATTTGGAGATATTTCCATGGTTAAGGGTTGGGTAATTGTCAAGAAAGAGAATTGGATGGGAGGGTTTGCTGAGTTTAAAATGCAGACCATCAGCGGAATATGCTTGTAACAGTCTTTGCTCTTATGGCAAATGTGATGGAGAGGACAGGTTCTGTGGGCAAGGCTGGCAGTTGGCTGCCTGGGGGATGGGGAAGACCTCCCCAGAGTGACATATCTTCTGGTGGTTTCTTCAGGTCCAGTGGCTGTCATCAGTGGTGAAGAGGACTCAGCCAGCCCCCTGCACCACATCAACCATGGCATCACCACGCCCTCATCCCTTGATGCCGGACCTGACACAGTGGTCATCGGTATGACTCGCATCCCAGTCATCGAGAATCCCCAGTACTTCCGTCAGGGACACAACTGTCACAAGCCAGACACATGTAAGTAGCAGAATAGAATCCTGTCCCTTTTGGGGAGGGAAGGGTGGTGTGGCCACAGACCATGTAGCTGGGGTTCTGGAATCTTCTGGGGTACCCTGCCACTGCCAATCTCCCACTCTCTAGGAGACCTTCCCTGCTTATCTAAGAATTTTCAGGACAGCCTGGGCAAGGAGAGGCCCCTAAGCAGATTCCCTGTGACAGGGAGGATCAAGGGTCTGGTCTGGTCCCCTCTGTCTTCACCTGGAATCAGCAGGACCCTGGGAAGAGAGAGGTGATCCCGGTGAAGCAGGAGACATGTAGGAGGCTGGTCTACTCTGCAGACAGAGCCTGGGTAATTATGACACATGACTCTGTCCTGACAGGATCCCTGGGGACCACCAGAACCTCCACCCAGGCCTCCATGAGTAGGGAAGGGAATGAAAGGTGAGGTCCCTTTGAATGGAAACATCTCCCCAGATGCCCCTCCAGTGTCCCACTCTGTGATAGCTGAGTCTCAGGCCAAGTGCCAGGAATCCTTACTTCCCCATGGCAGACCAGAGGCCCAGGGTACCTGTCTCCTCCTTATTGCTCATCTCCTCCTGGTTCCAGCTCCTCTCTTTGCATTTCTGCTGAGCCATGCTAGGTTCCCTCTTAGCTCCCATAGCCTCAGCGGCTCATCCCTCCTTCTGGCAGGGCTCTCCCTTGCCCTGTGCTCAGGTTCAGTCTGGACCCAACAACACCAATGCACAGCCCTTCTCTTCCCATTGTCCTGCCCAAGGGAACAACCCACTGCTTTGGCTTTGGAGAGCAGAGGTGCCAGCGACTACCTGAGAGCTGGAAAAGGGCCTAATGATCAGCTAGGTGTAAAGGCCTTGCCTTCCAGACAGGAATACTAGGTCCTAGGAAGCTGTGAATCCCTGTTCCTACCCTAGGCTACCTGCTAACAGGTTCCCTTCCTATTTCAGTCATCCCAGCATAGAACTAGGCAGAGGTGCTCTTGCTAATCCTAGGGCTCAGCTGTCTGCGTGTGGGTCACACTGTAGCTCACAGAACTCTGGCCAATCCTATTGGTTCATCCCATGGCAGAGTGGCATCCTGTTCATCAGCCTTTGCTCTCCTTACTTTGGCTCTAATTTTTAAGTGAGAAGGTTATCACAGTGGGAGGGACTGGGCTTCAGTGAGCATCAGGTCATCATTTACCTTCCACATGTCCTCCCAAATCTGCCTCAGTGAACATAAGGTGCTCCTGTTTGTATAAAGGAAAGGCACCTGGGCTCTGGACCCAGGCTGGGTAAGGAAGGAAGATAGGCAGTGGGAAACAGGGAAGGGTGCTGTGCCATCTCTCCAGCTCCTGTCTCAGATCAGGCTCCTGCTTGGTCTGGGCTTCATGTGGCTGAGAGGAAGTTCATTCTCTGGTGGTAGCATCAAATTTAGGGTCAATGAGGAGTTTTCTAGGGTGCCGTGAGACCCCACCATTGCTGCATTAAATATAGAATGGAGTCTCATTGTTCAGCATAGTCTTATTCTCCTATTCAAGTACTAACCAGGCCTGACCCTGTTTATTTTCCGAGATCAGGAGATCAGGTGCATTCAGCATGGTACAGCTGTAGACTGATGCAGTTCTTTTCTAAGAAGTCATTGTAAACAATGAGCTCAAGAATGCTGAACCATTGTTCCTAGGGGAAATGCAGCCTAGGTTCCTGTGAGCCTCTGATGACATTTTATCAGCCAATCAATATGTAATCTGGTTGCATATTGTACGTGAATTTCTCTCTCAAGACATCTTATTGAGTATAAGCCCTGAACTCAGTGGCCAGGGCACTATAACTCATGAGTGGCCCCACGCTTATCTAACATACCTTTTCCTCTGTGAGACACATCACAGCCATCCTGTGCTAGCAACAACAGGTGGAATTTCAGGCAGTGTTGGGAGCCGCCTTAAAGAGCAAAATCACTAACAAAAAGCATGAAAACTGGTTCTGGATAGACAGTGAGAAGGGCACTTGTTTAGAACATGTAAACTGAAGACAATTTCAAAATAGTCTAAATATATGCAACTTTACTTGCCAATGAACATCAGTATTTCAAAAGAAAAAAGAATGTTGCCCTGTCCATCTTAGCGGCAAATGTCCACACAGGGTCATTCATGCCTTTAGTCACTCTGTGCACATCCCCATGTCAAAAACTCTTTTGGAATTTCAAACACACTGAATGAGCAGGCAAATGTCTGGGGAGAGATTCTGTGCATAATGAGCATCTTCTGTATTCCCCTTAGCAGCTCCAGGTGCAGAACATGATCTGAGCCCCATGCTTGTGTCATATGGAGCTCCTAATCCCAGGTTTCAACACAGCTTCCAAATGGGGTGAAACGACATATTTTAGTTTTCTTTGGGGCCTCAGACTCAGTGTTCCCATGGTAACTTGGGAGGTGGGCAGAGGGCCATGGGACTGAGAAAATGTCCTTGAATGTCAGGGTACAGTGCAGAGCTGAGGAGCCACCATGCCAGGATACCAGGTGTAGGCATAGCCTCTCTTCTCGTGTCCTCTGGTTAGAAGTGTGTAGGAATTCAGACATACTTCCGTGAAATCGGGAGGAGGCCATGGCCATAGAGGGAAAGCAGATGACTGACAGAGTCTTGAAGCAGGAGGGAAGCAAACTGTCTATCAAAGGGGAACCATGAGTTAATTCTGGCTGTCACAACCCTCTAATATAAGGCAAACTATCCTTCTTAGGACAGTGGAACATTTACCCTATCAGCAGAGAGAGGCTGCGCTGGTCATTTGCAGAAAGTGTGTGAGGCATGGCCACAATGGATCTGGTTGGTCCTCCCTCTGCTAGGGGACTCACACAGACAGGGCCTCCACGGAGTGTCCAGGTGCCATTGGTGGGTTTACCAGCTGCGATGAGGCAGCAGGAGCCTCGTCTCTGTTCTTCAGGGCTTCATCGGTCCAGGGAACTAACCCACTCGGGGATGTGTGATGAGACATAGTCATACGTAGAAAAGCCACATATGCCTTGGCACCTAGATGAGCAGACGCTGCACACAAGGCTGGGGTCACTCCTTTGGGAGAATGGCAAGAATCCAGGGAGTCAGAAAGGAAAAATACTCAACTTGTAGGCTCCGTGGTCCTCTCATCTCATCCCCTTCCTTGTGTCACATGGGAAGGAATTTCAGCAATTTGGAGCTATTGAGTTTCTGATTTGAGACATCATTTCTCCAGCAGAGGAGCCTGGGATTAAGCACAAAGCATTTTTCTTTATTCACTCATATGTTTGTTTGTCATGAGTGGTGACCAGCATGATTAGGATGCTGGTGCTCTCTTTGCTTTTCACTTTCTATCTGTCTTCAGTCTGGTTTGCAGCATTTTCCTTTGGCTGCCAGGCTGCAAGGGTATTTAGAGATCACCTGGTACAATCCTTATCAGATGCCTGCATCCCCACGCCTGTGTTTCCACACAACAAACTCTGCATTTGACATTGTCTTTGTTCTGCCTTTTTTCAGCCTTGCCAGGATTTCTGAAAGAACTAAATAAAGATGCAGCTACGTGGTCATGTGTATGCAAACTTAAGACTGATAAGGCATCTCCCTCATTATTTATGTGATGCTTTCTGACTCCAGAATGGCATCCGGAGATGGATACACCTTGTTACATGTCTCAGGGTCCTAGGCATTGTGTTAGACCCCAGAGAATGAGCCACCAAGGGATCACAGTAGGTTATTTGAGAAAAGGGAAAAGATGTGCATAACAACATTGGGTGCCTGGTTACCTTTGTCACCCTTGTGACAGCTCTGGGCTGCAATAACATAGTTCCTGGGCTGGGGCTGAATGGTTTGCTGCTCTTTTTGCATGGGTTGGCTCTTTTCCTCAGGCTATTTGCAAGGCTCCTTAAATCTTTTTAAGACCCTGCATTCTCTGTTCATCCCCTTTCTCAAAACCCACTCCCTCAATTGAGAAAGCAGAAGGCATCTGGGGAGCTACATGTGCTTTCCCCTCCATCTCATCTTCCTTTTGTCCTCAGGACTGGCATCTGCTTTTGTCCCCAGGTAGTGTCACCACCTTCCCAGGGTCAGCTTCTTCTTGTCTGCTCCTCTCCATCCTGATCAGCCTGCCCAACACACTCTTTCAGTTCCTTGATGCCTAGTTCTATTTCTGTCTGGTTCCATCTTCCTAGAACACCCCACTCCCAGCTCCCCATTCTTGGTCTCTCTTTGGAGCTGGATTATGTGCATTTGAGTCTTTTCTTCTTTAGCATCCAAGTTCCTTTGCTGAGCTGACTTTCCTTTATCATCTATTCTACATGATCACTGTGAGGGTTTGTATCAAGCTCCCTGGGCTCTAGAAACAATGAAGAACTGGGACACATATGTCCACTACTCTCACAGGTTTACAACTGTCCTGAGCTGATCCTAGAGCCCAGGGTGGTGCTCCCTGGTTCCTTGTGCCCCCTCTCAGGGCCTTGCATGTTCAGCTCTCACCTAATGACTTACTGACCTTTATCTCTTCTCTCCATATTGCCAATCCCCGACCCCTAGATGCTACCTTAATATAATTTCTATTTCCATCTGATAATCTTTTCTCTTTCTCTTGGCCCCACTCAACACTACTTGTTCCTTCTAGATCTTTCTGTCCTTTGACCCCTGGCTCATTTCCAGCCTCTTGTGAATTGCTCCTAGGCCCACAATATTCCAAGGTGACATCCCTCCTTCTTTATAATTCGTGGCTCACAGTCAATGTCTTGAATGACTTAAGGGCAAGTCTTGGGTCATCTTGCCACTTCTCACATATATGCACATATATGTCCTGTTCCCCAAACTTGATTTTCCACTTATCCTTAGATTAGCCCTTAGGTAGTTTTTTATTTTATACAGAAAGCACAATATGGGACTCAGGTCAAAGATACATGTTAGAGTCATGGGAAGCTGACTACCATTGGCGGCGGCTCTAGGCCCAGGATCTCTAGAGATTTACAGAGAAGGAAAGGTGCATGACTAGCATCTACAGCCCTTCTGGGCCAAACA